ATTGAGAGTGATGACATTTTGGACGTGTACTATCGGTGTGAAGAGAAAGCCGTACAGGAGACCAATCGTGAATGAACCGTTGGAGATCTAAATAATGGTGTACACTATAGTCGAAGGCTCTTTAATTGTCCGTCCACACTCCGTGAATGCTTTGATCCCAGTGCATATTGCACTAAGCCTTTCAGGATGATTCACAGCCATCCCTGTATGGAGAAATAATTAAGGGGAGCCTCCGAGACGATAAGCGGAAAAGCATCGCAGGCCAGGGAACGACAGTGAAACAAGCCGCAAGAGAAGGACGTCTGAGACGATTATTAGTGAATTATAGTAAACCAGAGAGACCAGCTGAGAACAAGTAATTCGAGTTAGTCACTGGTTTTGAAGAACGGCGAAGCGGGTGGATAGAACACTTTGAGGAACTCTTGGGTGGCCCAGTCACACTGAACTCACTGAACATCGACGCAGCGCCTGGAGACCTACGCGTGGATGTTACTCCACCAACGATCAGAGTGAAGATGGTCATCGTACAAATCAAGTTCGAAAAAGCAGGAGGACTTGGCAGTATACCAGCAAAAGCACCAAGGTTTGACAAAAACAACTGCAGACATGATCCACGAACAAGTCACAACCTTCTTGATAATACGGCGAACCATCAAGATGCCAAAGAAAGGAGATCTGAACAAATTTGCGAACCACAGAGACATCACAATACTATGGGTACTAGGTAACGTATTCAGCAGAGTGTCAGTGAACTCAATGAAAGACTCAATAGATCCTTAACATGGAAATCAAGGGGCCAGATTTTGTAAGAATCGGTTGCGCACAGACCAAATCGCGACACCACGGATCATCGTTGAACAGTCAAATCAACAGAACTCGTAACCATACATCAAATTCATTGAATGTGAGAGGGCGCTTGACAGTGTGAAAAGAAGAGCCTTATGGAACCTTGTTCGACACTATGGTGTACATGAGAAAACCGTCGACAATATACGGAATAATTACGATGGACTTCATTGCAAAGTGACTGAGAGTCTCAGCTGTTGCCTCATCGATCTGGGTGGACATTCACAACATGTGATGGTACTGCAGATATCGCTTCTCCATCTATGTCAAGCATGGATAACTCAGCTAGGTTGTTATTCGCATCAAAAGATTGTGAATTTTGATAGAGGTGAAGTATGTCAACATATTTTTTAATGATGTATTTCGATTCAAAATTGAACTTGTCAATGTTTATAGATTTTATTACACTAACCAATTTAATTCACTCCAATGTTTATCACGCTATATGAGTGTTTTGAAAATGATGAATATTTGAAATTTTCGAAATATGGTTTGAGACAATGAAGACTAGTTTCAATTTGGAAAATGTGGTTGGCACAAACCATGTTATATGATGAGATTTCTAGTTGTTTCTGATAATCAGCCATTGTCGTTATCATTGGTTTACAATGGATAGGAAAATGTTATCAGAAATTTGAACCGCTATGTCGACATAAATAAATGAGTGATGACTTCAATCTCCCTGGAATTGAGTTTGATCCATCAAATTTGTGGCTGTGTATTTGTATGCCTGCTGTTCAACTCGATAAGTCAGCTGCCTCTGAATATATGGTGCTTGTTTCTTCAATCAATAAATGGCCATGCACTCAAGATTCACTGATTTGTCCTGAGAAGACAAACCTTTTCACTATTTTATTGCTACAGTTAAAAGTACATAATCCCTTTTTCCATAAAGCCAGTTTTTAGAACACATATTCACTTATAAAATTCACTGGAATAAATAATAATATCGGATTGATTTAGAAAAACATCTGTGTCCTCGCGAATAATGCGATGCCAGATGGAAGGTATAACAGTTACGTTATTCTAAGGAATTAGTATTCTGCATGTGCACATCAGTATAATAACAGACTGTTCCTCAGTTTACAGAACGTCAGGCACACTGAAAACATTTTGCCAACTCTGTAAATCATGTCAGATGGATATTTTCACTGATGATTGTCTTGGTTCCGTGTGAACGCGAAAATTTCATTGTGGTTCAATATATTTCAGTTTACCCCATTAATTTTAGTCGGATTGGATTAGGTATATTTGAATTCTATGTATTTTATTGAATTGCACCTTCTTTGTTCAATCATCATGATGTGCATTTGGTCGCTTAAATGTAATGTGTGGTTACTGGCTATACAGATAAGGCTGCTCATTTGCCACTATTTGTTAACGCATACATTTCGGCCATGAACATAGGCGAGGGGTACAGACTTTGTTGTTGATGGTGTTTCCACCATTGTTTTCATTTTCCACATTGTTTAGGTGGAGTTCCAGATGACACCCAACATTAACTTCTATATGTTTCGAATAAAGGTTATTAAGACGTTCTGTTTTCTAAACTGCAATCACAATAGCCGCTTTTTAGCTGTGATTGGGTTTTCGACACCAGTGTAAAACCAGGCAACAAGATGCTCTAAACTATCGAAACATCGAAACATACTGTGCTCAGGATACAGAAATGCAGAACACTTCGTTTTCATTCATTCGATCTCTTTACGCCATTGTGTAGATGAAGGGTGATGTATTATGCAAGATTGTTTGCATATGAAGATATCGTTGTGATCTTAGGTGTGAAACGGCTATCCTGATTTCAAAATTTGTTACACACATGCGAACTGCACGACCATTATCCATAATAGACGAACTTAGTTCGCAATCTTTTCTTAAGAGTGATGCATGGCGTATGTCTTTGAGAGAATAGAGACAATCACATTAGTTGCTTTTACGAACGTTATCCTGTCACATGTTTCCACATATCAAGTACGGTTGAATGAAATTGAGGACACTTTAAAAACTCAATATAAGCACATGGAAACAGTGGTAAATGTCGTCATCGCAAGTACTTGAGTGCAACGATTAGGGAATACAGATCAGTTGTTTAGACGGCCATGGATTTGTTGGACACGAAATTGCTTACTCAATAAATGTTGGATGTTATTAAACACAAATTAAGTCCAACAAAATTATTGCCCATTTGTAATGGAAACCGTGAATGATTGAAATGATTCATTTTCGATAAACTATATGAACGCATTGTAGTAAAATGTCCAGATGACACATTTTGCCTTCTAACTTATCAGTTTCTAAAGTGGTAGATAGTGGTTCTTTCATATTGTGCTTAGTTTACGTCCAATTATCCATCATGTATATCTAGGAAGTACAAGAGGTAATTCGTTTTTTAAACGAACATTGAAGGCGTATTGCTGAGCATGCAAAAGTTATTTTCTCTTATTATAATGGATATTTTGGTCACCCGTCGATATTGTCAGATAATTACCATTTAAACATTAAGATTAAAACAACGGCGTTCAGCGAAGAGATCACTTTTCAACGAACTTATTATCAAGCTGTACAATCGTATATATATGAAAATCGATATCTCAAACCAAGATTCCATCACACGGACGTAGTACCAAATTATGGCAAACGGAATAATCTCACTTGTGTAATTCCGTGAGACAGTGATGAGACTAGTCGAAGATGCTTCTCGACAGTTTAGGAATGGAACAAACAATATTTTAGATATTCTTTAATTAACCTACATTGACGGTCTCAGTGATCCTGTAAGTGGTTCTCTAAACGTGTTACCTGTGTGCGTGTGACTGAGAAATTTAGTAGGTGGTCAGAAACTGTTTTGTGTCACAACAAACAGATTCTGACTCTGAAATGCGAAATCCTAACTAATTAGCTGACCTAAACAGACTGGCCAATTGTAGTTAACTCACAATTCTTTTACTGATCATTGGTTTGTAACAAGACCAGTGAAAACTATTTATACTCTACAATAACATTAGAAATCAGCAAGAGAACAATGTCGACAAACAGCTATAAATCGCGTCTCATCCAATGTTTATTGCGAGCAGTGTTGATGTTGTCAATATTAGTTCAGGTTTTTGGAAGCAACTCCGATGAGACACTGCCACGTAAGTTGATTTCATGTTGCTATTTGTTGAGAACAGAAAATGTGGGAGAATTTGAAGATGCTTTTTCGTTCTTATTTCAGGTGAACGACGAAGCCTGCATATGCTGCGTATGTGCTAGTTATTACATCCACATACCGAACCACATGAATTTACACAGTGTATTCAAATAAATTATTACCAATTTCTGAGGTGCATTCTTTCTTGCTGACAAGAAACGTTTCATGGATTTTGATTACCTAAATATTTGACTAAGTATCATTTGATGTTACCTATCTTCAGTCACTCATTTCTGTTCAAGAAGATTGGAAATCTAGGGACTCAAATTATAAATACGGTGGAAATGTGTGCAGTATCTGTTAGGAATTTTAGTCTGCCATGCAGTTTTGGAAAGAAATTTTCGCATTGACTTTCACGTACCATGTTCTGCAGAATCATTTTTCACATATTTGCAAGATCAGAAAATCATTTTTCAAGTATGTTTATATTCAAATAAAGTTTTTGGCTGTTCACAAATTGGTGATGAAAGTATGTAGCCAAATATACATCGCGTTACAACATTTTCCAATAACCGAATAGCTGCCTCATGTCAGGCTGTTCAAGGTTGTTAAAATGAAACGGCGGATACTTTGAAAGGATCTGACTTACTTAGCGTACTTACTGTTCTGGGTGACGGCCTGGACCCCGTATTGTCTTGTTATCTAGTTTGCATTAAACATTTTTCTCACAGGAAAATAATAACAATATATATTGTGCAAAATGCTCAATTACTAATTTGTCCTGCTATTCAAACTATCTCATCACTAAACAACTCATATTAGTCAAAATAACTATGTATATTTATAAGCATTTTTGCACTTTCTCCTTAAGTGCCACTCTGATTATACGCTTGTTATGATTTTGGAATGCCGTGTAATATTTGTTTGGGTCAATTTAAAAGTCTTGTGAATTGGTCTACTGAATAATACGTAATAATTTTCTGACCGCTCGCAATCCCGTCTTTATTCATTTACGTGAACTGAAATGTCTATGTCTCCGGAAGCGCCACGCTGTGAGAAGAACTGCAAAATAGCTAGGTCACCACTAATTTACAAAGGTCATGTATATCACCCGTATATCAAAAATATAATAATTGGAGGGGGATTGATGGCATTGGGTGAAATTTGTGCTCAGTCACTTAAAATGTACTTTTTTGTTGCTCCTAACTATAATTCAGGCTCCAATACCGACCTGTGCTCTGTTTGTGATCAAGAATCATCTAAAAAGTCTTGGATATATCTCATCACAGATACCAAAAATTACAACTTCAACACCATTAGTAAGTGTCAGCTTGTCTTTTTATCTTCAAATGCCTGACTGAGTGAGTCTTCTCCGGATTCATAAGCAAGACAAATACTTGTCTAATAAAGACTGACGCGCTCGTTTCCAAAAGGGCAATGATTTTTGTACTTGTTTTTGATTATACTTGCTTTGGGTACTTATTGCACCAAAAAGCATTCTTGGTCTACTTTAACTAAAAGTACTTTAGTTAAAGTTTGAAATTTTTTGCTAAATTCTGTCCTGAGTACCTTTTTTTACTCCTTGACTAACACTTGTGTTCACATTGTGATCATTGTGTGTTTTTAAACCTTTCAAATCGAGTTACAATGGTTGGTAAGACTCACAAATGTAGGCAACCAAATTGTTTGCTCCCCGTTGAGGAGGGAATTCAGTGTGATGATTGTGAAAAGTGGTACCACAAAATGTGTACACACCTAAGTTCGATGGCATACAAAAGATGCTCGAAGTCTAACTCGCATTGGCTTTGTGTGTTCTGCTGTACAGATAAAAAGGTACTAGTTCAGGAGGCTATGGCCCTATTGGCTTTGGCCTGCAAGAAAAACGATAGCACATGCGCTGACAACACGGGCACTGACAGTGACGAATGTGTCCGTGTAGTACCTGCTGTTACGCGATGCCTCAAACGACCGACTCCAACCGACACAAAAGTGAAATCTCCGTTAACATCAACAAGGGGAGTAATACCACCTGGTACTGACATTGGTAACAATGCACCTTTAGTGGGAACCGACGAATTGGATAAAACCGTCACCGTTCCAAATAGTCCTAATGTCCTGAGGGATGAAAAATAGACTACGGTACGTGGGAAATGAAAAGAAAAAATCTGTAGGCAGTACACAGGTAGTTAGTAACTCACTGATGGACTCCCATTGTGAGTCACAAACTGCACTACCAAAATCTGGTGGTAAGAGTGAAAGCCATCCTGGAGTGACTGAGAAGAAAAATCAAATAACATCTAATATTATTGTGAGCGAATTGCGGGAGTCAAACTACTCTGATCCTAAAATTAGACACGCGCATGATTTAGAACAGCTAGGAGAATATATTCGTAGTATTTTACCAGATAACTCTAAAGGAGTTCAGGTCAAAAAATTGGTTAGAATAGGCAAGAGAACTGATGACAGTGTTGAACCCCGACCATGCAGACTCCTTAAGGTAATCCTAGGATCGGGGAAGCAGCGGGATCTCCTGTTAAGTAGCGCACGTTGTCACGACAGTTCTGACATCTGAGTTAGACCTGACATGTTTCTCGAAGATAGAACAAAAAGGAAGAAGGCACTGGCTGAACTTGGAACCCGTCGGCAAAACGGTGAGGAAAATCTCCGGCTAGTGGGTTTCCGGATAGTCAGGTCTTGGAAGCGAATGCTACTAAGGTCTGTGTGGATAGGCCGTTCTACTTAGGAGTTTTATATGCCAACGCTCGTAGTCTACAAAATAAGTTCTGTGAACTAGAAGCACTAGTGGACAGGTTAAAGCCACTCGTTGTAGCAGTGACAGAAACTTGGTTAGTCCATGACTTAGACATTACTCCAGAATTATCCGGATACAATTACCTCAGGAGTGATAGACATAGATGTAGAAAAAAGGTGGCATCCTGTTATATATAGCCAATAGCATAAATATCCGCTCCTCTGCTAGCGAATCCCATGATAGCGGTACTTGTGAAGTCATTAGCTGTAAGTTGGCTATCGGATGTAGTACATTTATGCTCGGTGTCATCTATCGCAGCCCAATCTGCTTAGCTGATAACTTTATTTTAGAGCACATTCAACTATGGGGTTCAAATAACAGATACTTGGTAATAGGAGACTTTAATGCACCTGATATTAGTTGGACTGAGATGACCACGGAAGGATCTATAAACTCGTTTGATAGCAGGTTCCTGATAACAATAATGGAGCATGCATTAGTACAGCATGTATCCAAACCCACACTTTTTGTTGCTAACTAAGGTTCTTCTCTGTTGGACTTGGTAATCACTCATGAGACTGAGGATATTGTCGACCTAAATATTCTTCCACCCTTAGTGAACAACGATCACGCTGTTTTGTCACTCACGTTTAGAACTAGGGACATATACGATCAGGATACACCCCGCCCAAATGTATGGAAAGCTCACATATCAGCCATTCAGGAATGCGCCGCTAAGACAGATTGGTTTGTAGATACTAGCTTACCAGTTGAAGAAGCATGGTCTGTATTTAAAGGTGAGTTTAGTCTAGTTACGTCCCCGTTCATACCATACCTGGTGCCACGAAAACCGAATAACAGTCCACCATGGATAACTAAATCAGTCAGGAAACTCCTTAGGAAAAGGAAGAATCACTGGAATATGTTCATCTCTACTGGCTTAGAACAATACAGATCCAGTTATTGTAAGATTAAGAATACCTGTAAAGCGTTAATAAGCAAGACTAGACTATCATATGAAAAACAATCGGTTAGGGATTCTAGATATAGTCCGAAACGGTTATTCTCGTATATAAAAAGGCGAACTCAGAGAAGCGATGGAATTCCATCACTTTTGATACAAGAAAATCCGTTAATCTTGGCAGAAAATGATGCCGAAAAGGCTGAAGCTTTGTCGGAATATTTTAGTAAAGTATTTTCTATCGGTAATGGGGAACGACCAACGATTCATCGTGACCGTGACGGCTCGCTGATGGATCCTGTAGTCATTGAGAAAGATACTGTTTTAAGGCTACTTCAGCATCTCAAACCTGATAAGTCCATTTCTCGCACCGAGTAATGAATTACTGGAATGCTCTACCGGAACACGTAATATCAGCACCTTCTGTTAACATAGTCAAAACGAGATTGGACCTCCACAGTATTACAAACTGCAAGGATTAATATAGGTCGATAAACCTACTATCCTTATTACTGAAGATTCTAAACGACAATTGGTTGTGTACTGCACCAATATATTTCATATGCTCTATCATCATTTACCTTGATGTTTAGTGGTGGTTAGCATAGTAAGGTAAAAGACTATCATGGACTACCAGAATATGATATGACATCGGTTGGCACGTATGTGTGCAGAAATGTTAACATCTTGATCTGTATCTGAGCACTATTCGTAACTCATGGCGTTTTTGTTTTTGTCCCATACCTTACATTCGCCGATATAACTGGCTTCGAACTATATTTTTAATGCTTAGCTTTATGATCGGTATTGCTCAAACTGCTGTGCATTTATAGTTGTTAGTTTTTATTTTGTGCGATATTCGACAAATTAGACCCATAAACCTTTGTCATAAGGTCACATTGTTTATTATTGACTTATCAGTTTTCTAATTCTTAAAATATAACCAAGTTGACTTTACAGTCAACGTTTTTTGTCATCACCAAATTTGCCTTGTCCTCTTCTAGTTTAATTTAGGCCAGGGACCTTAATGTACTATCCCGTCTGAGTTGTTAATTTTTCTCGCAATGATGAAACTTTTATTCCGTACATGCAAATGTTTGTCAGCTTTTTGTGTAATCTAGGTCATATTTACTTTGTTTCCGTTGCTATAGTTAGACAGAGTGCTATCGGATCGTTCCAAGGATTCTATCAATTTATATATTATAGTTGGTTAGACAAAGTATTCTCTGGAGTGTCGTTGACTATAGTCGCAAAGAAGGTGTTGTTAGATGAAGTGTTAATAGGACCTATAAGCCTGGCGATATTTTTTCTTTGTAAGTTAACCAATTTACTTGAATTCAATTTTTAATATAGTCAACTTTATTTGAAATGTACCTTGTACAACTTGATTTAAATTACAAGATAAAGTAAATGATTAACTTATTTTAAATCTTTCAGTATTCAGTTACTTTGAAGTATCTTATATGAATACTTTATATTACATGTAGACCTACCAGAGCTTACCATATATATGTACATACTAAGGTAACTACTCGGAATTAGATTGTTCTTTCCGTCTACTAGGGAATCCCGAGCTCCCAATTTTGGGGAAAATTTTTACCCATTTTGGGAAAGCCGCTGTAGTAAACCTTGGGGAAATGGCACTAAAACCCCAAAATCTCCCCAGACCTGGGGAAATTCCCCAATATTTCCCCGAAATTCCCCTTTAACCTTAGTCATGGTCATTTGACTTTGGGGGTTTCCCCGAAATTGGGAGCTCGGGATGATTGCGATCACATTGTCTCTAATTTTATAAATTCCGTTAAATAGCAGAAATGGATTATCATACACATTTTAAACTCAAGGCAAAATTTTGACGATCTATCAATGGTTCTACATTTTTTCCTTCTGTAGATTTCAGTCACTTTTGCAAACCATAATTGTCAAAATTGACTATCAGCTAAAAAATGATCATTTCCTGGTTTCACAAACGACATGCTTAAGAACTAGAAGTAATATCGCCAAAAATTGTTGGAATCAGTGACTAAGTTTCGATATTAAATGATTTAGATTTCGCCTTGAAGATAAACTCCCGATGGTTTTTTTGCTAGATTTTTTCATAGTAAGCGTATGTACGTGCCTAATCCCTCGAATGGATCAATCGAATGTGAAAATAGAACTTCTGTTAGTAGATTGCAAAGGTTGAATTCCTAGCTTTTGAACTGTTCTGCTGTATATCAGGTTTAAAATCATTATCAGTAACATGTACATCATAATTAAATCTTCTCTTGATCAGCGGTTAAGGTTAAGAGATATCAGGGAGTTTCAGCAATGTGTTCTGAATTGATTGATGCTCGGAAACTTATCCAATCGGGCTTAATATATAATACGAAGCGAAGACAACTTAGAAATAGCCTGAAAAAGTCTACGTAATTGTCGGATTCATTAGTGGCTAGCGGAAAGCAAAACTATGTAGGCGGCGCTGATTAACAGTAGACAACCTTTCAGACATCAAAGAAACAAGTGTAAAAAACCGGTAACCAGTGAGACTTCTTGAAAATGATGTGACAATTATTCACCCTCTACACAAAGGTCTGCAACGAGCGCTTTGAAAAAGTTTAATTGTTCATTTTCTACCTTTCTGTCTCCTAATTCTACCAGGCGACCGCATTGGAATGTCTACATAGGCCCCCAAACTCTTAATGTAGTAGAAAAGATCATAGCGAGGGATAGCAGCAGGCTATGATGGATTAACTCCAATGATCTTTAGTTATGGTGGTCCGATTTCGACTGTTAAATTGAGATGTTAACTAGAGTCGGGGAACTGAACGTAGTCTCATCCACCTAGTCTCAATCTCTGATTTCCCCAGTCTATAGGAAAAGACACAAGTCCTCTTTTGACAACCACTGAGGAATCAGTTTGACTAATGTGATACATAAATTATTACCCTCAATAATCATCCAACGCTTAACTAGGACTTGTGAAGAGCAAACTCTGGACATAGACGTCGATGTGTAGAACAAATATTAACTCCAATTTGATATTCGACCATGTGTTTCCGACACATTTCTCGTGTATTTTAGACTATCGAGTGAGAAGTACCGAGATTAGACATAGTATACTGCGTAAGTACGGCAAATTAGTCGATTAGGTATTAGATCATCACCAACTGAGGTGGTTTGCACTAGCTACATATACCTGTAGACCGCTTCACCAACAGACGATGTTGTCTGGTGTAGGATTTGTATGGAGATGTACATCGTATTTAGCGTAAATTGCCAGTAAAGACTTGATGCTGCGTGGAAGTTGGTTAAAAAATATGTTTATTTATTCATTTAAACACACAAACATTGGTACAAGGAGGAACCAAATAGATATGCGCCACATAAATCATTCGATTTGTGTGAGGGCTGGGATACTGCCTAGGTGCCCAAACCGAAGCAGGTGGTTTCCTTAGGGATCCACACACTGAGCCTTCGACTTAAAGGTCTGATCCACAAGGCAGTGGAGCAATGTAAGGAGATGCAGTTCTTGGTAGCTGGTGACCATTTGTTCCCTCAGTATACTGGAGCCCATGCGCACCATTGGTTTGGAATCAAGGTTTCCCAACTTCCCTAGGTGGATTTTCCGTATCCACCAACCTGGTAAAAGTGACGGACATTCTCTTTTCGTCCTCTCGAGTTCATAAATAACTCCGCCTCAAGAAGGCAGTGTGTAGAACTTCCATGGCGGTGGTTGTATGCACGTGGCCATATGAGAGCATTACAAAAAGGAGAGCGGACTCTCCTCACTCTCGGCCGTACCAGGGCTTTTGGGGGTGGTTAAAAAAAGTATAGAAAATGATGAGTCCTGTGATACTTTACTAATCGCTATTTTCCGAGAGATTTCATACTTTCTAAAAGCAACCAAACAGCTATGCAGGTGTCTGGAGATTCTTACGCTTTCCAGCTTTAGTGAAGGCGACGCAGATAAGATCTAGTTTTCCATTAGCTAGCGACTCTTCCAGTTACCCCTACTGGGCATTTTTAAAACACTATAAGCCTTTCTTAAAGTCGTAATGTGCACTGCCGAACAAGCTACGATTTTCCTCAAAGGTCACGACTATTTTTTTTTTATGGTTACCTTCAATATCCTGACTACGACACTTGCAAGGATGATCGGTCTGTAGTTTGATGGGTGTGGTCTAGATTGTCTAGTAGATCTGAGTGACACATCTTTCTAGTGTGTTGGTGATGTACACTAGCTGAACGATATTCTGAAAACAATTATGAGAGTGGCAGCTACGTATATTACACGTTGTCTGGGCATTTAATGGTGTAATGCATTCGGTCCTGTTGATCTGTTCGTATCTTAAGAGCTTAATGTCTTAAGCACGTTCTGGTTGAAATCAATGAGTAACTTGTTCAGGAAAAATACCGATGTCGTTTTTGGATGACGCAACATCTCTTAATCAGATTGTTTTTAATAATGTTCAGATTAAGTATGGTTTGAACATTAAATGTATTTGATCTATTTGGTTAGAATGCCATGTTGACTACACAGTAATAAATAGCTTAAATTTAACTGGCAGACATTGTGAAATAATATTAGCAAACTATCATAATCTTACCTTTTACTGTGTTTTTTTTATTAGATAACGGATATTGTGACACGTGCACGATGGCTGGAGCTTTTCAGCGGTGTCGTCAATCATTTCTTTCAGGTTATTTGTCAGACTTAGTTTATTGGCCTATATTGCAAACCATTAACTTCGCCCTTGTTCCTCCTGGATATCGTGTCTTATATGTCATATTTTTCACTAGTCTTTGGAACACTTATTTATGTTTCTTTAATGCTCGTATGGTAAGTATCGCAAAGTGTGTCCTTATACATTTCTTAGTTTCTCATATGCGTAGTTATATGTATCATAAAACTAGTTTGTTCCAAGCGTTCTGTTATCAGTCGGACCTAAGTCGCCGCTGATTGTATATGAACACTATGAACGAATAGTGTGATAGGAATTGGGCCGTGAGTTTTTTACGGGCAGTGTGTGTGAAGATTATGTTTGAAATAAATTTAGAATGTATAACAACCTTATTACTCGAAAAATTGTAATCCGATATAATATAACAAGTTCTCCATTGACCAGTCAGCTACAACGTAGGACCAGACGCATATATACATCGGTCCAAGTTGCCATACCTCATTAGCACAGCAAAATGGACACCGGATTCATAGGAGTGCTTAAGTCAATGGTGGTAATATATAAAAGAAAGATTGCATATAACGATATAGTACAGGAAGGAAGAATTAGTTCGTAGAAAGAAAGATATGAAATGATTTTAATCTCTTAGTTTAAGTGAAGACAAAGAGTGTATACACCTACACCATTGTGATTGATTCTGATCCATGTCATCAAGAGTCTCCAACCATTGGTTACGATAGTCACGCGGACGCCAACCAAGTAGTCTGCACCTACCAAAGTGACTCAGACCAGATGTTAGTGTCTTCAAGAACTGATGCCAGGTTTTGTTTGACCGTCCCTAACTTTATTCCAACCATCCCCTACACCGGTTAGCATTGCATGTCGTGGTTATCGGTGTTCAGGCATACGTAACACGTGGCACAACCTCATCAACTGATTTACCATCATTCCTTAATACCCTGTGTCTGTCTAACCTCACTATTACTTACCCGATGATCCCAGCAGATGCGAGCAATATTTCTAAGGCATTTGTGGTCAAATACTAGTAGCTTACGAGTATCGCTGCCGTAAATTAAAACAGAACGAACTGTCTCACAGTATACTCGCCCCTTAATTGATAGACGGATATCTCGCTTTCACCATAGGTGACATAAGTTGGTAAAAGCCAAACGTGGTTTTCGAATATGTGCTGAGATTTTGTCGGACACCAATCCATTAGGGCTGATCAGACTTCCAAGATAAGTGAAGTTGTCCACGCGTTCGACTGCTTCACTCCCTATCCTTAGTTCAGGTGTAGATGCAGGCCAGTCCTGAAGCAACAACTTGCATTTAGAGGGGAAGAAGTGCATCCCAAACATTCTGGCATTTTTGCTCAGTGCTACCAAAAATCTCAGCGTCTTCACGAAACAGACTATGTCACCAGCGTATTCTAATTCAATATGCAGACCTCCTAGTAGGAGATCAAGTGAAAACTTAGTCTCCATTGGAAATTGCTCAATCAGTGATTCAGTAATCGTCTGATACTTTCTGTCAGTGAGTTAAGTTGACTCCCTCGTAATTTAAAATTTAGATAATATCGTCTTGCCATTAAGACTTACTATTCCCGGGCCTCACTCCATATAATGTCGTAAATTCACACCACTGAGTTCCAAATAAAGATTGACTTGGTGCTTATTATTCTGTTGGTTGGGTTTTACAGGTCCTGTCATGACGATAGTTTAAATCATGCTTTAAGTGAGTTTTCACTTTCCCTTTTTATTAACTGATATTGATTTCAGGGCCGCAGTGGTTCCGGGATCGAAAACAACCGATAAAGGGAAGATTACAACTGAGGAGGTTTAGCAAAATCCCATATTGTTTTTTCATACATTATTCTAATTACAACTTTTGGCGTCAGGAGTTTGGCTGTTGTTCTATGACAATCACACTTCGTTTTGTGTAATTTCTCATAGAACATCTCCTTGGTAAAATATCTGAATAATTTCAGGCTTCATGGAAAGACTGTTCACTCATTTTCATAATTATATTTACTTTCCTTTTTCGTCCGCACCTGTATTTTTGGTGATACGATAAATTTTGATCGTTAGATTTATATTATTAACCAAACTATTCATCCTATATTTTTACTTCCACTTTAAATTCATGTTAACTTTTTTTTCTTAGATTTTTCCTAGAATTCAGTGCACCTAACCTACTTATATTATAAATTCATTTTTGCGTTTTGATTTTGTTTTATATACACTGAAAAACAGAATATCACTTCTTATTATTCTCATGTTATATTTGTAATATGAACGCCCAAGTTATACCAATGGTCAACAGTCTAGATATGCTTCTATTTCAGTTCATTTAGATGTTAGGCGGTTGCTATGATGCCCAAAGATCCTAGATTTCTTCCTTCTTGGGGTTGGATGCGTTCTGCTGAGGAGTCCGATGCTAGGACAAAACCCTCCAGGCTTTCAGTGGTGGTTTAACTAAGAATAGTTTTTGGCATGCAATCGTATTAAAATTCCGTAATCTCCACAAAACCTTACACTATTAAACAGGAAATTTAAAATGTTTTGTAATGATTAATATTACCATAAGTTGTTAAAAACACTGCTGCTCGTTTGAAACAAGTATTTATTTAAAAAGCTACCTCTTATTGTCATTGTTAATGTAGATACATAAATAAACACATGTCTGAAATAGATTTATTTGTACTTAATTTTATCTAAAGGCTTATTCTTAATCAGAATAGTGAAAAAAGCTATAACAGGGCATTATTAACTGATATAGGTTGCATTATTATTGATATATTTATAAACTGAAAAAAAACTTTATGGTTAATTATATCACATCAAATAGTTACATATTATTTTAACAAATGATTATTATAATTGTTAGTACGTATACAATTGGTAGGACATCATTTTTAACTACTTTTCCGTCTTCACCTCTGGTCAAGTATCAATCAGTCTTCTTGATTGATAACTGATGGTTCAGTTCCACGTTTGCTCATATTGCTGGAATCAGTTGAAAATCTTGGTAAAGTTGGGTTATCCTAGGGAAAACAAATTCAAGAAACTAAGGTTTTAGATTATTTTTCTCTAATAACTATTATCAGTCAGACAGCTACAACGTAGGACCAGACACATATATACATCGGTCCAAGTTGCCATACCTCATTAGCACAGCAAAATGGACACCGGATTCATAGGAGTGGTTAAGTCAATGGTGGCAATATATAAAAGAAAGATTGCATATAACGATATAGTACAGGAAGGAAGAATTAGTTCGTAGAAAGAAAGATATGAAATGATTTTAATCTCTTAGTTTAAGTGAAGACAAAGAGTGTATACACCTACACCATTGTGATTGATTCTGATCCATGTCATCAAGAGTCTCCAACCATTGGTTACGATAGTCACGCGGACGCCAACCAAGTAGTCTGCACCTACCAAAGTGACTCAGACCAGATGTTAGTGTCTTCAAGAACTGATGCCAGGTTTTGTTTGACCGTCCCTAACTTTATTCCAACCATCCCCTACACCGGTTAGCATTGCATGTCGTGGTTATCGGTGTTCAGACATACGTAACATGTGGCACAACCTCATCAACTGATTTACCATCATTCCTTAATACCCTGTGTCTGTCTAACCTCACTATTACTTACCCGATGATCCCAGCAGATGCGAGCAATATTTCTAAGGCATTTGTGGTCAAATACTAGTAGCTTACGAGTATCTTCTACTCTTGATGGCCATGTTTCGCTGCCGTGAATCAAAACAAAACGAACTGTCTCACAGTATACTCGTCCCTTAATTGATAGACGGATATCTCGCTTTCACCATAGGTGACATAAGTTGGTAAAAGCCAAACGTGGTTTTCGAATATGTGCTGAGATTTTGTCGGACACCAATCCATTAGGGCTGATCAGACTTCCAAGATAAGTGAAGTTTTCAAACTTACCCCTCTATCATTGTCACAGGATGATTTTGAACCACCATCCTCAAATACCACCTCCTTTCAGATTAACTATATCCTTTTTGAACTTCTGCTAGAGTTGGTGAACCTACTTCGATAATCCATTCACACTGTCTTGGAATGATGGGTAGCTGTAGAGTAGCTGAAGTCCAGCTGAACTGCTCTCTATAATGTTCCGCCCGTCGTTTTAAACATCTGGACTGGGAGCAGATGAGAATGTCGTCTCACTTACACTTGACTTATTAATTCCAGTTTCTTTTATTAGTCTGTAGAGCTGTCTTGTGTTCCCTGTAGCCACCGCTTTTTCCATCTCTTTTACTTTCGTTGCCCACCACTGCTCACGGTCGTTCCTGAGACTTTTGCTTAACATAGATCTGATTTGTTTACGCTCTTCATCGTGTTCAGAACGTGATGGGATGAGTTTGCAAGAATTTATCAGTGCAATAGACCTTGAGGAAATCCATTGGTTCTTTGTAACCCTGTGGTTTAGATCACTAATAGATGTCACTGCTGTTTTCACAGCTGTTTGTATATTTTTCCAAGCAACATCCTGGTTAGCCTCGTTTTCAGAACTACCTGATTGTGACCTCATTTGTTCCTGGAACCTACTTTTGGTTTTCTCGCTACTCAATTCAGTTCTAATGGGTCTTTTTACTGTGGCTTTTATGCGTCCAGCGAGGCGCAAGCAGATGCGTGCCCGTATTAGGGCGTGGTCGGAGTCCAAGTAGGTACTCCAGAATGAACGACAATCTTCTACCGCCCCTCTCCAACGATGACTGATGGCAATATGGTCTATTTGGGTCCATCGTTGGTTTAGTGTAGGTGGTCACTATGTTAGACGATGTCTCTCCTTATGCTTAAAATTTGTGTTTGCTAGAAATAAACGATTGTCTGAGCACAGTTACAGCAGACGATCACCATTATCTGTTCTTTGTGCCGGAATACTAAAATACATACCTAAATGTCTTTCTCTTTGGTGTAAACTACTTATCTGGGCATTAAAGTCACCTGCTAAGAGTACTATGTCTGAACGTTTAGCTTTCTGAGGAAGTTCAGAGAGCTTTCTGTAAGATTCATCTGTCACTTCATCTGAGCTGCAGTCAGTGGGAGCGTAGGCAGAATTACTATTACATATATGTCACTTTTAGCTGCATCTTAATGTGTCAATTATATAATTGAAACCTAGAAGTGACGACTTCACATTAAAATGTTGGAAGTCTATCACAAGAATTGTTATTAATGAGCACAATATTGTCATTTGGTTGGTCAGTTTGTAAGAATTAGTTTAATTTGAAGAGAGTTAGGATGTTGTGGTGTGTGCTCACGCCGTTGATGAGTTCCAAATATGGACGAAAAAAGTATAGTTTGTTATTTTTAATTACTATTTCTTAAACTGATCTCAGTCTGTGACAAAAGAATCTCCAATCATCGGATGTGTTGAACTGTTCCTTATACCTACTATCATTATATTGGAAAATTTGTAATTTTGCTATTAGATCAAGTAACATCTTTTGTAACTAACTTAATTCAATGCACCCTAAATCAAAGATTATCCATCATCTTTTTGATCATTTTAATGATATATAGTTCACTATTGCGCGTAATTTTGTTTCAATTTAATTAATTTAATGTTCCGATAAATATCGATTTTTGCATTGTTCAAGGTGATGGATGTGTAAGCTCAAGTTCTAACTTGAAAAACTTTTAGAAGCACTTTAAACAAAGATTATTTTAAATATTTTATAATTTTTGATATCTAATAGTGAACCAGTTATTAATTTCGGAGACGTGCGTATTTTTTTGGTGAATACTATCTAAATATAATCTGCAGGAAATCTTGGACCTGAATTTTGTGATGGCTAACACTTAACAGTAAGGTTTATCTTCGCTCCTGTAAAAAATATTTTTCATGAGATTCAAATCATAGTTACCTAGTACTTTAGTAGCAAAATTTATCACTAAGCTATTCCGGTTACAACTGACTTTCTGTTGGACTTAGAAATTTATATTGATTGCTCATCTATATAAATAGTATGTAGTATTTTGTTGTCTGTTCGTTAGTACATAGCGAGTGCTATGAATAATGGAGCATAGAATTGTTTACTACTAAATAATCATTTAGTTTTAGACAAAATGAATTGCCATTTCCTATCCTTACTATTGATTGAATAAGAAAAGTGTATACGTAATGTTCAAATCATAAGGTTAATCGGTTAATAAATATAAAAAATTAAAAAATTATCAGTTATATTTCTTAGTGAAAGCGGCTAACTTATCACCAAACAGCATCAATGTGAGGAAATTATGGAACTTTCTACTTTTCGGTGCATCTGAAAATTTCGTCACCATATGGAATTCTTACGACGAACTACACTACAAATTCATACATGGAGAGCGGCTCATAGATGCATTCCAAGTGGAGACTGGTGTCAGATAAGGCCCCCTATTTTCACCTTTCCTCTTTCTACTTGTTGTTAACTAAATTATGAAGACCTCCAGATATCAGTTAGGCACGGAATACAATGGACAGCTTGGATGCAGCTAGCTGACTTGGACTTCTCATATGACGTAGCTCTCCAATCCCATAAACGGCATCAAATGCAAGAGGAGACAGCCAATGTTGCATCAGTAGAGCTCAACATTCACAAGAGTAAAAGCAGAATCCTAAAATGCAACACAGATAAGGTCAACCAAATCACACTTGATGGTGATCTGGAAAGCTTTACGTACCTGAGCAGTATAATTGATAAGCAGGTAGGATCTGATGAAAATGTAAAGGCATAGATCGACAAAACAAGGGTGACATCTGGAACCAAAAACAACTGTCAGCCAACATCAAAGTCAGAATTTTCAATACAAGCGTCAAGACAATGATATTGCACGGAGCTGGAACTTGGAGAACTATTACAACCATAAAAATGTCAAAGTATTTATAAACAATAGTCTTCTGAAAGATACTCCGGATTCCTTGACTAGACACTATCAGCAACAACCTACTACGGTAGAGAACAAACCAACTTTCAACTGAAAAGAAAGTTAGGAAAAGACTCCGGAGGTGGGAAGGAAATGCATTTCAGGAATCATCAAACTGCATCATGAGCCAAACCCTAACTTGGAATCGTTAATGGAAAAGGAAGAGGTAGACTCAAGAACAGTTTGCGTCGGGAATCAGAGACATACATCAAAAGAATTAATAGCACTTGGAAACAACTGGAAAGGAGAGCCCAAAACGGAGTAGATTGACGATTGCTGATCAGTAGCCTATGCTCCTCCACGAGGTGTAATGGGTGTAAGCATGTCACATAGTCATAGTTAAAACGTTCATATAATAAGGTTTATTCGACAAGATTTTCAATACGGTTCATTTGAAAATGTCAGAAGGAATAGAAATGAAGTGAATTTTTTAAAATGAATAGTTTTTTATTCTTATGAAGTACTTTCTATTTTAATTAACGGTTATTTCCTTATTTTGTTTAGTTCTAATTCTATAATACCTTCTAATTTGGTTATTTTGTTGTTCATATATAAAAAGTAAATGAAGCATGAAAGCCTTAATGTACTAAGTATTAGAAAGTTCTTTTCATCCTTCAACAGTATATTAATTTATTACTGACCTATGTAAAACTACAAAAGTCATTTAACTCAAGAAAACCTAACACTAAATAAAGTCAATAATATTATTTTAAGGAGTCTCTGAGTAACTAAAATCAACTATTCTATCCTAGTGTGGTGCGTGCTACTTATATTAACATAAGTAGTATATAACGCGAATCAGTAATGTAATGTCTGGCAGCAGAAGATTGGGAAGATCAAGAAAGGAAAAACGGGAATAGAAAGCAATTAGTATTGAAATGCATGAACAATGAAGTCCGAGATAATTATTGAATATTTTGCAAATTAGGTATTATAGTATGGTTTTTCTATTTTACCAAGTAACTCTGCAATGGTTTGTATTCCAATTAGTTTGAGTGATACTGAAATGAATTGACTATTATCACCATAGAACAATCGGTAATCGTTTTTTCTTTCACCGTTATGTAGCATATTTGATAAATTCAGACTATTTAATTCACATGGAACAGTTATTGACTTATTTAAAACTTTTACAGTTTAGTCTAAAAGTTAAGCGTTCACCGCTAGACATGATCACTTTGGGTTCTCTTTCAAGCAGAGTCATGGATATTCACTACAGAGGACGTCCATACTAGGACAAAATGTCTCCTTAATGCTTCCTGGTTTTTAATGGTTGTCCAGCTACAGTCAGTTCGTGCTGTAAATTATGATTTATTTACGGATCAAAGATATTTATTTTATAAAATATGTTTATTAAACTCGTTTGTCACATTTGAATCAGGTTACAATTGTCATAACTTAACTAACTTTTCATGAATTTAATTTAGATCGAATGAAGCAATATTCAGATAAAAACATAATGGAATAATGACAACACTGACTAATCCAATACTCTGAACCATATAATCCCTAGATTATAGATAGTTAACAAGTATTATAAAGATACATGAAATACTTCATGAATGATTTAGTTTTAATAGTAACATTTTTTGTACCATAGTTTTCATTATGTAACGTTCATGTTATTTTCGTCAACAAGTCATAGACCTTGATTTTAAATTTACCGTAAATCTATGCGATAGCTCACGGAGTAGATAAATAAGATGGCATTGCCTTTAAATTCATCAATCTACAGCTTTATGTTATTTAAATACTGAATACAAAGTCGAGACCTTGCATGGTCCAACCTTAAAAATTATGATAATTCAATTAATCAAACTTGACAAAATGATTTTTATGTTTATATTGTGGCGCTTGATACGATTGACTAATTTGAAACTATGGTCTATAAGAAATATTTCTCATGAAATCAATATTATACAAACATTGATTAAAATAAATTTCATCCACGTTATATGAAGCCCAGTTGACGAAATGTATCTGAGATAAATGTGGATACTGGACAAAACTCTGGAAATAATAATCATAACTGATTTTGCGGGACAATGATTACTTTTAGATTAAAGCCAGCGATCAAGTAGCAAGAAAATTTCCCTCAGCTTGAATCATGAGCCCCAAGGATGTGCACTTCTGAGGAGTCCCAGACCACGACGAAACGGCCATCCAAAGCTTCCAGGTTTTCACTGGTTGTCCTACTTAGATAGGTTCATGTTTTCAACGAAATTTAACAATCTCTACAACCGTTTATTTACTCCTGTTACCCCTCGCGGAGGAGCATAGGCATCCCACCAGCGCTCTCCACAGAACTCTGTCCTGGGCAATCCTTTTCAGTCGCTATTTACTCTAACTGCTGCTGGCTGACAGTTGCTCTGAGTTCCATATGTTCTCCAACTATAGGAATGCTGCCCTTGCTTTGCCGATTCTCGCCTTTATGTCTGCATCCGATCCTCCAAGTTCATCGGTGATGCTAACCAGATATGTGAAACTTTCCAACTCTTCCAGAGTTTATTTATCAGGTGTAATTCTGTTGGTGTTTTCCGTGTTGTATTTGAGGATCTTGTTTTTTATTTATGTATGTTGAGGCCTTCTGATGCAGAGGCTGTTGCTACATTGGCTGTCTTGACCTGCATTTGTTTGGGTGTATGTGATAGAAGTGCTAGGCTATCTGCGAAGTTCAAATTTTCTAGTTGCATCCAGCCTGTTCATTGTATACCGTGCTTCCCCTCAGATGTGGTGGTCTTCATAATGGAGTCAACCGTCTGAAGATAAATGAAGAACGACAGTTAGAAGCCTTGTCTGACCCCAGTCCTCACTTGGAATGAGGCGGTCAGCTATCCTCCATGCACGACTTCGCAGTGTAGTCCGCCATAAGAATTCCGAATAATGTTAACGACTTTCTCTGACACACTACAATGTCGAAGAAGTTCCCATTAGGTTCTTCTATCCCCTCTGTCAAATGCTTTCCCAAAGTTAAGTAAGTTGATGTACAGTGACGAATTCCTTTCAATTGACTATTCAACAATGATCTATAGTATCGCGATTTGGTCTGTGCACAACCGTTCTTTACAGAATCTGGTCTGCTGATCTCGCGTTTATTGAATTGTTCATTCGGATCAGCAACACTCTATTGAAAACGTTTCCTGGTACCGATGCTAGTGTAATGTCTCCGTAGTTTTCACATTTGTTCAGATCTGTCTTCGATATATTGATAAGGTATCGTTCTTTCCAGTTTGTCGGCACTTGTTCCTCCTCCCAAATCTTCCACAATCTTTTGCTGACAGTAAATCTTAGTGTTTATTTTGATTAGGAAAAATGAAACTAGGATCATGACCATGAAAAAGAACGTAAAAGCTATTTCCGTATACCGCTTCTCAAATGCGAAAAGCATGTATTTATACAACGTTGGTGGATTGGTTTTGGTACTATTAACAGTATCGAACGATGAGTCTTTTGGTACTGAGTTATGGTCAACTACGTGATGTAAAGTAAAAGATTTGATTGAATCTTTGTTGTGTTGACCTAATCAGACATTGTCCTTCATAGGTCACCCTCAAATTATATTTTTAAATCGATTATTTGTTTAATATATTCTAGTCAAATGTGAAGATTCACCAATAAATCATTCACTAGGTACTAAAGCTCCTCTTTTATGCTCTCTTCTCAAGTGTTTACTGATTGAAAGGTTAGGGAATGAGTCGCATTTCGCTTTCTGTTTATAGAGCCAACACAGTTCTCTCTCAATTACAGGTGAATATTTAATTCATAAATCAATTAGAAAGTTTTATGGTTTCTTTTCATCAACGGAACATCATACAGAGGTGAAGTTTACGTACAGATGACGTTTGGCTATTTACTTCATCCTATTTTCAACCTCCTAGTTTCTCCACATATGAATAACACACCATTAGCTCTAATTGAGAACATAGGAGTAGAAAAGTTGGCCCATGTCTAAAGTTGGGGTATGTGATATTCTTTTCTTGTGTATGGATTCGTAGACAATTATAGATCCAATCTTTTTAGAAATTTCATGTAATTTCACTGTGGTAAACTGGTTTATTTTCACATCTTTAAAATTCCGTATGAGTTGTCTTTCAGTTATGTCAGATTTATTTCTATCGATTTCATGTTTTATTATTTTCAGACCAACTGAATTCGGTTACTGCAATATTCAAAATTTGTTTCAACAATACGATCATCCGACTGAGTCTTTGAAATAATTTCATTTCTGTTTACTCTATTGAACTGTAAATTTTCTATATGAGGATGTCAAGAATGTCATTCTGATTAGATGTACTACTGGCATCAATTTAAGTAACTTATAATTTAACACAAACATATATCGTCATAGACTATATTACATATCTGGATAAACAACAAAGAAGACTTGTCATTTCGTTGAAATAATGCATCTTTATCTGGATTATTAAGGTGATAGCACTTTTAAATGAAAAGTTTGGTGAGTATAATCGAAATTATATTTAACTTCTGAAATCCAAGTCAGTATTCACTACTTCTTTGATCTTAATGATTCTAAAGTCCAATCAGTTTTGATAAATGCACGTATTATTATACTTAACATTAATATACACTGATAACATTATATTTTAATAGATGAGACAATGAGAAAATAAAATAAAACCTATTGTGCTTACATCATCTGTGTCGATATCATCTAATGTCCAACAACAATATGTGCCAAGAAATATCCAAGCTGATATAAAACAGAAAATGGCAGCAAGCCATAATAAAATGTATCCAGAACCATAATCAATAGATGTTGTTGTACGTTGTTTCTATTTTCAATTATATGGTATGATATAATAGATAGAAAGAGAAAATAATGTTAATGTAGAGAATTATTAAAAAGTAAAAGTTATTCTGATTATAATTTAACAATCAATGGAAGTTATCCAGAACTAAAATATTCAGTCAACAATTATAAATCAATAACAAGTGATTGATAAATGTAGATTGGATTCTTTGAACTAGATAAATAGGCAAACATAGATCTCCTGTTTCTATATTTATTTATTGATTGATTACCAATGTTCACAGTAAGTTATTTCAGACTTTACTAGAATGCTAATTTATCAACATCAGTGTACCATAACAACTTGTCTGAAATGATAAGCACTTCTTCCTATCTACATAAGTATTGTTGATATGTTTGAGCATTTAGTATACAATAGAATTTATTGTAGCAAGTGAAATGTTTATCATCTTTGTAAAACAATAAAATGTATTATTACACTATAATCTTAGTTATCACAATGCTTTCATTGTCAATTAGCCAATTAAAATTGAGCACAATGTTGTGTACAATCTGGAAGTCTATTTTTATACAATAAATATGTGTTAACCACTTAATTGATATGATTTTCCTTCAAGGTTAATAGGTACAGTGAGTATTCTTTATACTAACTTTCTAGGAATTCCTAAACTTTCTTAATCTTCAATACGTGAACTATAAATGGGGAACAATTAAGAACTTAGAAAGAAGATCTGATTTGAAACTGATAGTATGTACAAAAACGAGAGTCTTCACTAGGTTATTGGATATCTATTTACTCCAGAATCATTGAGAAGAATGATTACAATTGATAGTTGTCAATTAAATTATCGAATATTACTTCATTTGGAAAACAACTGGAAAACATTGAGTACTGAACGGTATCACATCCCTTGAAACTTCAAAAAAGTTCAATTTTATGATCTCATTTTTAGATAAAGAACTGGTTGATATAAAAATATATCGTTTTTTCATCGGTTCAATCTAATGGAAGTTTCTAATTTAACATACTTAGTAAATACATATTTTAATAGATATTTCATGCTGTACAGTATCACAACCAATATGTTCATTACTTGAACCGCTTTCTGGATTCCTTAATTAATTGTAATTTTGAACTCTAAATAGTAGTAAAAGGACATACAACAAGATTAGATGCCTCAATTCAAAGTCAAATGATGTGTAAATACTGGCTTATTTACAGATTTCTGAGAATTCAGTAAGTTTAGCAGTAAAATAAATAATTATCCAACAAAATTATAACATGCAATCATTGATTTTTCAGAATGTTTCTTCAAAGCATCTACTGACTACTGATTGTGTGAGATATTTTCAGCCTTTTTCTAGTTTTTGAAGAACATATTGAAGAATTCTGGGTAGATTATAACAATAACAAGACTCCATGAAATACATCCATGATAAATAATAAAGTGTTGCTTTTATTAAAATAAATTGACTAATCTTTCTATGACGAACGATCACATTTAGTTTAAAATATGAATGGGATTCCTTACGTCAGACCATTGATTAAATCCATATGGGTATCCAGATGATTTACCGTATTTATCTTCAAATTGTTCAACATGAAACATTATTATTGAACTTTGAAGACAAAATCCTTTATAAAACATTTTAAAAAAAATAAAAAATGTTTTCGAAATATAACACTGTCACTGTTATAATGAACATTATTTACCAATTTTATAAATAATGAGAATAACAAAGCAAGACAAGTCAGTATGACTGTAAACATATGACTGTAAGCGAATACAATAAATTTTTTGATTGAGAGCATGAACCTATTGATGTTAGACCGCCGCTGGAAACGAGCCCAGAACTATTAACCCATTGAACCACTGAGCTGGCATCCAATGGTGTCTAACATCAACCAATTCATGAAACTGCGTGACCATCTTCCATTGTACTGAGGTAGATACCTATCTCTAACCGACATGGATTAGCTCCGCTGGTCACGGCTTCTCACTAGAACTTCGAGAATCCCCTCACGAAGCTAGTCACTAGTGAGAACATGTTAATTACCAGTATCCCGCGAGCGGGATCGTGGATGCGCACTGCTGAGGAGTCTCACAATAGGACGAAACGGCCGTCCAGTGCTTCCAGGTTTCCAACAGTGGTCTAACATCAATCGGTTCATGATCTCAATCAAAAACTTAGTAATCTCAACAACCCCTATACTGGTAATACAATAATTAATAGTCCAACTCCTTTTACAAGTAAGCTCTATCATAATAAGATTAGACCCGAAACAACTTCCCATCATACTATATTACCCAGCTGCTCAAAATTAATGAGCAGGGCGGATTTGAAATTTTCAAGTTTTGATAAGTGAATATTTTAAAAAATAAGTCATCAATTCAAAGTTAATGTATTTGTTTTCACTGCAATATACTCATTCATGTTAAAACTCTCAAAGAGTAAACAACAAAAGAACATAGAAATGAAGAGAATAAAATAGGAAAGGAGGTTTAAGATACCGACTGTAACAAAATCTTTTTTAGATTTTGAAATCTTGAATCAGAAGTGTCTGAAAACAGTGACATTACTCTTAGTAACGTAGAAATAAGTAAATAAGAGACATCAAAATCATTTCACCATCGATTCCTGTATTAATTCGACTTAATTTAATTTAAACTTCCCAGAGGATATCACTTAAAAAACACACTCTTTCTCATATGATTCAACTCATTGTGTAATGACTATAGGAATTTGTATATTAGTAATGCGTGAGTGCTGGAAGTCATTAACTTCTAATCTGAGTCATTTTGGTATATGCAGACTACTTGGTTGGCGTCCGCGTGACTATCGTAACCAATGGTTCGAGACTCTTGATGACATGGATCAAAATCAATCACAATGGCGTAGGTGTATACACTCTTTGTCTTCACTTAAACTAAGAGATTAAAATCACATCATATCTTTCTTTCTACGAACTAATTCTGTCTTCCTGTACTATATCGTTATATGCAATTTTTCTTTTATATATTACCACCATTGACTTAACCACTCCTATGAATCCGGTGTCCATCTTGCTGTGCTAATGCGGTATGGCAACTTGGACCGACGCACATATGTGCCTGGTCCTATATTGTAGCTGACTGACTGATAATAGTAATGCTTAAATATACTCATATTTTCATCTCTGCTTTTCTTTGAATCACTATGAAATATCGAGGTTATCTACTTCATTCAGTTTAAGCCATTCTAGCTTCATTACAGAAGCAGTTCAATTAAATATCAAATTCTCAGTATTAATTAAAGATTCAACTAACTTGTTTTGAATGCATTTTTAACATCAAAACAGTTTCCGTAAGATTAGACCTCCTGCCAACTTCAGATCACAGCAGTTGTCAGTAACTCTCTCTCCTTCTCTCCAGCTACTTGTCGTAATTATTCATGCTATGTATATGAATCTTAAATACTCGAAAATAGTAAGTCACTTACGAAATTCGACATTACATATCACAACTTAAAATTTCTCTTCAAACTATATAATTCATGACGGTTGCCAGCTTGTCAGAATTTATGAGTTTCTTGTTTTCATAATGATATTTTCTGTGCAGAGATTTTTTAAAAATTTTTATTCAAGAAGGAGAAAAATTCCATCTACTTGATATTGAATTGGAATGAAATCAACTTTAAAATAAAACAATATTATATTTCAATGGTTGAGATCAGGGGTCAGTTGAAGCTAGACCACCATGGAAAACCTGGAAGCACTGGATGGCCGTCTCCTCCTATCGGGGGACTCATCAGCAGTGCGCATCCATGAACTCGCTCCTTGCGAGATTCGAACCAGCTTAATGGTCTAGTGGTTAAGCACTCGCGCGTGAGACTGATAGGTCCTCGGTTCGAATCTCGCGGTGGGCGAGATCGTGGTTGCGCACTGCTGATGAGTTCCACAACAGGATGAAACACGCGTCCAGTGCTTCCAGGATTTCCATGGTGGTCTAGCCTCAACTGACTCATGATCTCAACCATTGAAATTACTATAATATTTAAAACACCCCTTCTAATATTATATTTCTTTATTTTGTTTAACTTACCAGCTAACATAAGAAATATCCCTATAATTAATCGCCAATTTCTGAAACATTTATTATCTTTATTCGTTTTATACCAAACAATGATCAATGCAAGAGCAGCAATAAAACAAATACACATGATAATTATTGCTATTGAATGCATAGCCAGTTCAGCAAGACGTAGATCTACAGATGTGTATGTTTAAAATATTCAGAAAAAAAATAAAAAAGGAAAAGAATATTATCCTTTAATGAAATATAATAATTGTTTTTAATGAAGATTACAGATAATGGTATGGTATTTCACATATTTCTTTGTAATCCAAATTCTTTGGATTCTAATGATTGTTTTCAAAATCATACTTATTTTTATGTTTTTTTTAATGACATTGGAATCTCAAACGAACTTTTAGTTCTACTGAAGACCTATCTACTTGGTGTACCTGAATCTCAGTGATGAAGTTTACACTGGGTCTCAAACGAAGTATGTTTTGCTTTAACTCACCAACACTTTATCTACTGAGTTACTGAGTCCATATAATCAGTGGCCTTTGTTATGGGTATTAAATTTCTCAAACTCTTACAAACATCATTGTAATTCTTCTGATTTCAATTTAATTTAATTTCTTTGTGATATAGTTTTACTGGAGAGTGTGTTATACCGGACTAATAAATACTTCTGTCAGATCTCATACTTATCATAACTGACTGATTTATTCATGATCTATGTAATAACGACTTCTTTTTGGCTAAGTTTCGCTCCCTGAACTGAACGGTTTGATAACGAGTCCTTTATTATGCTTCTAAATAACATGGTCAGTACGGACTTCAGATAGATGTGAACTATTGAAGTTTTTCCACACGTGACTCATAGCTTGTTCTGTCGGCCTCTGATTAGTTGTTTCTGACTCTTTTCATGTCATTGCCTGAATATTGATTTTGATTATCTTACCATTTGACCTTCACGATTAAATAGCCCATTTTAAAGAACAAAAGTCCACCAAGTTCATCCACCTGAGCTAGAAATCTTCTCCATCACCTAAAAATGATTATTTCTTATTAGAAAGTTTTCTTGTTATCTTTACTTTGTATTATTGAGCAGTTCTTTCGTTTACTTTGTCGTCACGAATGTTTTACCTCATTCTTTATAAATAATTTTTTATTATATATGCTACAATTCAGTTGGTAAAATCTCCGAAACCAGTCTACTTTTCATCTTTCTTCAGTGGTTGTATTGATGACAATCGTTAAATTATTATCTAGGAGTCGAATTAATGAAAACCATCCAAAAACTACTGCGACTATAGGTTTAGCAAACTCTATTATTCTACCTAGGATCAAATTTTCGATTTACAAGACGTGGATGAAATAGTTTTGTTTAGTGAGGACTCTGAAAAAAATACAGATTCTTCTGACTCCTTTAAGCAACAATAGGAGTATATTTGGAATGAGATTCTCTACCTCTAATTACGAAATCCTGCCTGAGGACTGCTCTTTGTCAGCTAACGAATCAAAGATGGGGGCGAATTAGATGAATGGGTCGATTACTTTACTTATCTGCGATTATACGCAATGCACTATATAAATATAACATTGATTGATGAAGTAATAAAACCTCATCAACTGAGGTGGTTAGCATGTGTTACATATACCCGATCACCATCAATCTCGACTGGCGTTGTTATCTGTTGTCGAACTGATATGTGAGAAAACTTGGAGTGACCAAACCTAAAAATTGTATCAGTCTATAAAGTCATCAACATTTGAACTAGGATGAAACGACCGTCCAGCGTTTTCAGGTTTTCAATTGTGGTCTAGCTTAAATCGTTTTGTGGTGTCAATAACAAAATCACTTCATTACATTTTATAACTGCTAAATGTTAAAGGAAAAAGAAGCAACAAATTCAATTCTAGTTACAATACACATAAAAGTTTCTATAAAACACCACTTCGTATAAAGTGGATGTACATTTTACCTATACATTCACGAAAAGAAATTACATGCCATATTTTATCACATTAATTGATGCATGTAGATGTAAATATACGTATGTATGTATAACTAAGGTAATAAATTTGATTAGGCAATATTAAAACATTGGTTTTGAAAAAATTAAGAGAACTTTTTAGAAGTTTGGTATTTGTATCTGTCGGTATTTGATAAACCTATAGATGCGAGAGTTATGTTATACAATATGCCCTTATGGGCCAGGGTAATTTTACATTGGTTTTCAGAAGAACCAGACTTTCACGTGACAACCCAAACAGCACAGGTCAATCCCGTTTAACAGGAGGGCTTGATACCGCCCAGGATTACATTTTATAACGCGTGTAGTACGGCTCAATCCCGCTTTACAGGAGAACCAGACACCGTATAGGCTTTAACGTCACAATATGAATAGTACAGCTCAATCTTGTGCCACAACCACACAGGTACCAAGCACCCTGATGAACCATTCGCACCACTCATATACACATCCACATCACATGTATAGTTATTCCAATCAATGATCGCATGAATCAGTTATGCACAGCACGAACAGGTCAAAATTTATCTATTCCACTTACACGACAGTCAAACTCATTAATGTTAGCAATGGCGACATGCCTTACAATATCTCAATGACAATAGTCCTTGAGAACACTGAAAAGCGACCACTAGTATGAATGAAATCGGTTAACCAGCAAACCAATTCTGTGCATGAACAGTCAACAAAACTTGCTAAAGGAATGCCGAACCATCTACAATGCCAATGACGAACCTCCAGTCTCATATGAGACCTTCAGCTTTATATAACCATATAAATGCAACTCAAACGTTTTAATTAATAATGGCAAAATAAATCAATTAATTAGTCACAAAAAGTAACTATATACAACACTCAATGTAAAAGTTGACGCATAGAATGATAACAAGCTATTGAAGTTGATCAGTGAATAACAATGTCTTAAACATCAAATATTCTAGAAAAATAGAAGAAGAGGCTTTAATTATCATTGATTATACTTTTTCAATGTATTATAATAGTAATCATTATATTTATTAACAGTAAGTTGGGTAATTGAAGAAAAGAAAAAGAAAAAACAAAAGAAAACAATTACATTCTAATTATGAATAAATGAATTAATGCTGTAACATACTTGTCATTAATGTTGAATATTCATCTACATAACTTCGATCACGGTTCTGGCATGTGTTATCTGTATAATAATAATAATAATAATAATAATAATAACTTTAGTAAATAAATCATATTCTGAATATTATAGATTATTTATACAGTATATAACAATGTTATGTAATATGATCAGCTTAATTCTTCTTTAATCATTCCTATTGAATATAAATTGTATTAGTTGTATTGAAAATACTTCAATTGATAAAGGAATTTTGTTGTTGCTGTTGTTGTTGTTGAAAATCGATATTCACAAACAATCTTATGGCATATAATCAACTTGATTTATTTAAGCATCAATATATTCTCATAAGTAGTATTATTGTATAATGTAATCATTTAAAATAAATTACATTTGTACAATTAGATCAACTTTAATTTATATTAACAGTATAGAATTGTGTAGATTATTAAGCTTTTGATTAAGATCATGAATTGATTGATGTTAAATCATCATTGAAAAAGATCGTCTAGTAATTCCAAATTTTCAATGATGGTCTAATATCAATCGGTTCATGATCTTAAAAAAATTTCCTTTATTAATACATGAGAATAGGTGATATCATTCATTAGGGTTTTTCTTTCTATGATGACAACAATTGTTCATTGTTTGATTAGTTAAACTCCATAGTGTTTCATAAGAAATTGTTTGTAGTAATATGCATATATTAAGCATTAATGATTAGTTGCTAGGTCAGTTTACATTAGAAGGTAAATAAGAAAATTAATGATCAATGTATTTATTCTTGTAGATTTTTAATTATAACCCTTAAAATCAATAATGAATGTTTTAGTAATTCATTACTGGCTTTATCTGTATTCTGAATTTTCTTGATTACCTACGGTAAGGGTTAGACATGTTCTAATAACTGTTCAATAAATGTGAGTAAAATGACTATTTTGAATATAGTATAGATTCTAGTAAACAATAATGAATAGAGTAGAACATTAAAGATGGTTAATGTCAAAAAGATTCTGTAAATTAATTATATGTGTTGCTTATAGGAGTCTGATTTTAAGATCCTGTATATTGTACGCCTACAACAAGTTATTAATTAACTAAAGTCCTATTGAGTTTAAGATATTTCAATTTGACTATAATGATCAATGTAATTAAAGCAAATAAGATTCAATGCATTTAAACATAGTTTTGATTTATATGTGATGTTGAATAAATCTTTATTCATCATTTTTATCTTCTCTGTTACTAGCTATATCAGCTTTTTGTTAACTTATAACGACTATTGCATAAGTGATTGTGATTACGTAAGAGACGTGGAGATAACATCTATGATTGCAACGCTATGAAATGAAGATTAATATATATATATATATAGAAGAATTTCCTAAATACGTTAAACGTCTTGATACACATAATGAACGGATGAGTATTAGTTAACACAAAAAAGATCAGTAATTTCTTGTCGATTACATTTAATTATCTAACAAGCGACGAGTATTTAGTTAAGACAGAATATACAAAAATATACAAATAAAATAGAAAAATGTAACTTTTCACTTTTTTCTCTCGATTACCTGATGTAAAGCACACTTGTGTATAACCCATAGTTCTGGCTTTGTTTACATTGGCATTGGATGCATCAAACACTGATGGAGCGATCATAACAAATGTTGGTAGAGCGACGGAAGCAGCAGCCAAAGCAATGGCCACTGCCAAAATTATAAAACCTGCAATTATCCAACTTCGTGTATAATTTAAAGCTTTAAAATCATAGTCTTCTTCAGTTGCAAATTCCGAATTGTCTTTAAATTTCATATCTATGAAAACATAAATATAATTAATCTCATATGTTAAACCATTTATATTAATTTAAGTGAAATATTTCAGTTTTACATTGTGTCGAATTACTTCTTGCCATTTTAAATAAAATAACACTAAACGAATTTAGTCATTTTGATTTGATGTCGAAAGCAATTAAGTTTCACAGATGGGAAATTTCTCACAGATTGAAACCAATTCATATCATAGATATCAGCTGTCTCTTTTTGCTATCAGGTTGTTTCAATGACTTATTAAATTTGGACGATGTAATAGATCGTCTAGCATAAATAAAGGAAATAATCTAGTCGTATCAAAGGCGAATAATGAAAAAAATTCTGATGCGTTACTTCATTCCAACTAAACTGTTCACGATTATGTGGTTTAAATATCAATTACCATGAAATTTCTAATGGCGCCATGCGGGTAAGCATTACTTACTTTAGAAACATTCAGTTGTTTGATTTCTGTTCTGGAACTAAGTTCAATGTCTAATAACCAACAATTTAATTAAATGGCAATGTTTCGTATGACAAGTCTAGTTTCTTGATACTAAATTCTATGTTGAACTATGTTTACATGAAGATCACATATCTAAGAGCCTATAAATCTCATCTTATTCATAGACGTCAAATAATTATTTGTACAGTTACGTAAATTTCAAAATTATCATGAAACTTGACACTTTTGATGAATGATAAACTTCTCGGTTCATAAAACCATAGTTGACTTTCTAATAAAATTTAACAAAACTCTGAAACTAATCACACAAAAATTACTCAACCGTAAACCTTCTGTCTAACGTTAAACCAATCAAAAGTCTGAAACTCAATTTAATTAGAATCTATTTAAACAACTTAATGGTAAGTTTGATTAATTTAATGTCACTGATTTGAGTATTCAATGGTGACTGTTTGAAAATCGAACTCCAGACGAATAAGAAATAAATACAATTATCGTCTTTTTTTTATAAAACTCAATCATAATATTTATCTGTTCATCAATTTAATACTAAGTATATCAACGAACTGATAAAAATATATATTAGGTTTCTCCTAGACGCTGTATAAGTTTCACAATTGATAAGTCACTAGTGATGATCAATATCATGGTCGATAGCATTCGATCTACATTAAGAAGAACTTGACACACATGACATTGATCACCACCCAGTGATCAGTCAATTGCAATTACATCTCAGTCCTACAGGAGGTCGGTCGCCGGCCCAGATAGCCCAGTGTTAACGTCTCTGACTTGAAGCTGGGTGACACGGGATCGAGCACCAGTTCCCTCAAGATTGCAGGTACACCTTGCTGACGAGTGCCAAGTAGCACGAAACCCGAGTACAAGGTTTCCTGTTGACTACCTCCAACCACCATCTAACTGTTTAAGTTTTATGGTTACGTACTATGGTACAATATGTCAGTAATATACTTCACTAGCTTTCACCCAAGTCAAAGTTCCAAATAGTTCTACTTTACGAATCCATTATTTATTTCTTTACATCTTATAACTTTCTTTCAGTGTTACCACTATCTTATTCTCACTACAATATTATGAATTTCCAAAAAGCCGGATAATTTGTACTAGCTCAAAGAAGTATTCATAATCTCAAGAAAAATCAATAAAATTTCTCATCTGAAATTACAAAAAAAAAGAAATCAATATAACCAAAAGTTTGATGATTACAAATTTTAGTACACATGAATTGATTAATGGGATCTCTATTTTTATATAATAAAATCAATATGAATAGAAGTACATCTTTCATATATATATATCCATAAAATTCTCACAAAATATTCAATATCTAAGTATTTAAAATTTATTTTAAATCATTTATGAGTTAGTTGCTAGAATAGTAAATTAAATGAAAATCAATAAGAGAATATAGAATATGGCATAGATACATTGAATAAGTAAACAATGGATGAACCAGTTACAATAATATAGATACTAATTCTATTTTATATTGGATAAAGTATAATAACTACAAATTATAATAAGGTCATCATCATATATTCACTTATCTCCCTTTTATTTAATGCTGACTCAATAGTAATTATTACATCATATTCTTTATATTCAATAGTACTCATTTCTTGAATATTATTGAAAACTGTCATAGAATAAGTTGATACATGTAAATTGATCAATGACCTTGGCAACATAACCTTTAAATACATTCAAGGTAGTAAATTCAAAATCACTTGATCTTGATGGGAGTGGAATGTGAATGAATGAATGAATGAATGAATTGATCAATTCATTCAGATTATTCAATTCAATATTAAATTACAAATATTTATGATATAATTGTTTATTCACAAAAATATTAGAAAATATAATTGTAGATATTTATTTTATGTATCTAGTTAATTGATTCAATTGTTGAAATCATGAGTCAATTAAAGCTAAATCACTGTGGAAAACCTAGAAGCACTGGACGGCCGTTTCATATTAGTATGGGACTCCTCAGCAGTGCGCATCCACAATCCCACCTCCCGCGAGATTCGAACCCAGGACCTATCAGTCTCGCTCCAGGCGCTTAACCAACTAGACCATTGAGCCGGCATCGAACGGTGTTAATATCTATATTATATAATTATATATATTATATAATTTACTAAATTATTATTATTTTAATATAATATCTTGTATAAACGTTCACTATGGAATTGAGTTTTCATTCACCCTATTCTTAATTACATATATACTGATGATACTATGTTAGTTACTAATTATCATACACATTTCTATGTATATAAGTAAATATTGTTGAGCAACTAATTAAAACTAAACTTTTTCTCATTTAATTAGATTCTTTATTTTTATTCTATTAACTAATGAATATAATTCTGTATTCAAATTATTATTGGTAATAGTTCACTTACTATTTCAGAAACTTGAATATCTACCAAAAGTGCAATGGTAAACACATAAAAGTTGAAACTACGATGAACGATGTCTGATATTTCTAAGATATGTATAACCAATTAGTCTTATTTAGCTTAAAGTCTATTAAATAATGAAGCGAAATTCATTAAAAGAACTTCCATGCCAAAATAACATCCACTTCTCATACTGATGTTCTTAATATGGTCCGTTTCTTTTAATTTATTTTAAACAACTAATACTGATTAACAATAATGGAAATTATTATCGGAATTTAACTAGACATTCAGCGATAAACGTATGGTGTTATATAGATACCTTCCGCTTTATTATTATTATTATTAATGCCTCTATTCAGTATTATATTTTGGCACAATAAGAAATTCTCAGCACAAGGTATTTCAACACGTTTCTTTTGCAAAAAAACAAAAACAAAAAAGGAAAAAAGGTTAAACGAAAAAATCCGAAAAAAAAACGGTACAACTTTTAAAATTAGAGACATGTTAAGAATGCAGGTTATTGTCTAGGTTAACTCTAACAACCTATTCGTCACAGAGTATATTTGCTAGGTAAGGTTTTATAGAAGTTTTATACTTTTGCTTGCGTGCATGGATTTCAATGTAATTACGTCTCGTTCTACCAGATGATATACAAGGAGAAAGATATGAGTGAAGGAGACGGTTAGTGTCTGATAAAATAACACTTGCCAGGGGTTTGTATGACTTTAGATGCCTATCCACAACCATATTAATTATGACCTCGAAAGATATTCACCACACACACACACACGCACTGCTAACTGCCTTCAGCACTCTCTACAATACAAAAAAGTCTTCTCTCAAAAGCCCGGGAAAGAATAATAGAGAACAGTAAATAGTAATAGGTAATATGCAAGAATTGACAAATTGTAAGAGTAAATGACAAATAATCCTAAGAGTATGCAGTCTCTTTATGTAGTAAGTCAGACGGGAAACCTTCTTCGATAACAATAAAACGGGAGAAGACCAAGAGTGATCAGAGGAAAAGGCAACACCCAGATAATTGACCTTCGACACTGTGTTTATCAAACAGCCTCAGATGGCACAAGCATTATGGGGTCCCAAGGTGGTGTTTAGATGCCGTTCATGTCTCATGCTAAACTGAACAGCTTGACATTTAGACTGATTAAGTATGAAACCATTAATAACAGACCAAAAATCAATACGAGACAAAAAACGCATTCACTTCTATGGGATGTAAAGAGGTACAAATCGGCATACATACAGTGAGATCATCCGCATATTTCACAAAAGTATTTATTGTGGAATACGGCAGATTATGCAGAAAAGAAAGAAGAGGTGAAGGAACGGCTACCTGTGGTACACCTCCGATTTTTTGACCTTATAATTAATTCATTGGATATAAACAGTTTTGGTAGATTGAAAAGATATATCATTTTTGAATTGATAGTATATTGTAGATAATTCTATTATTTAAAAGTTTTAGGACTTATTCAATATGGAAGATGTAGAAATCAAACTATTATTCTTGTATCTATGAGGTTAACATAAATTGTAATCCACTAAAATGGATAGTTTTTAAAGAGTTAGTTTTCTCTTAAGATCAACTATTGTTTCGCATCAATCTATAATAAATAGTCTTTGGCATATATAAACAAAAATAACAAATTAATTTACACGAAATCCTATCGAATAAACAAGTTATCTAGTTTAGGATATTCTTGCATTTCTACTGATAAGTTGTGAGTGGTGAAGTTCGAATATGTCGGGAGTGAAACCTTTTACTATAACTTGGGATTGGATGATCATCAAGCTATACCACAAATTGATCAAGCTTAAAATTATTCTACTGAACACTTCAATAATGACTGTAATATTTGAGATATTGATACTACACCTTAAAGAACTAATTTTGATCTCTGATGGGTTAGTGATTAAACCAGTTAAAGAACTCCATACTACAACGGAAGAGCTGTACATTGTGTCTTTATTTTTCAACGGTTACTCATCAACTGAGATCAATCTACGAAGAACATAACATACAACTGTTACAAACAAAATATATAACAGATTTACCAAATAATGTGCTTATTTATTTCCTAGAAATAAAGTATTATCGATGGTGATAACATCAGTACAAGAAGTGAATGTTAGTTTGGCATTGACTTAATAAATAGCTTCAACTGACTCATAATCTTAACCATTGAAATTACTACAATCTCCACAAAAACCAATCTGATATAAAATATTAATTAAGGATAGTATATTAAAAACACATTTGTTCTTTTAATGAATTTCGCTTCATTATTTAATAACCTTTAAGCTAAATAAGACTAATTGGTTATGCATATCTTAGAAATATCAAACATTGTTTATCATACTTTCAACTCAGAAAGTAAATAAATTTGTTTATTTAATTATGTGTTTACCATTACACTTTTGATAGATATCAAAGATAATTAAATCAAAAAGTCTAAGTGAATAACTTTCTATTTTTAGAGAAAAGTTGCTGAATATTTAGCCACTTGAGTATCATCTATATGGCTATATAGAGGTGAAGGTCTCATATAAGAGTGGAGGTTCGTCATTGGTATTGTAGAAGGTTCAGCATTGCTTTGGCAAGTTTTACTGACTGTTCATGCACAGAATTGGTTTACTGGTTAACCGATTTCATTCATACTAGTGGTCACTTTTCAGTGTTCTCAAGGACTATTGTCATTGGGACATTGTAAGGCATGTCGCCATTGCTAACATTAATGAGTTTGACTGTCGTGTAAGTGGAATAGATAAATTTTGACCTGTTCGTGCTGTGCATAACTGATTCATGCGATCATTGATCGGAATAACTATACATGTGATGTGGATGTGTATATGAATGGTGCGAATAGTTCACCAGGGTGCTTGGTACCTGTGTGGTTGTGGCACAGGATTGAGCTGTACTATTCATATTGTGACGTTAAAGCCTATACGGTGTCTGGTTCCCCTGCTAAACGGGGTTGAGCTGTACTGTTCGGGTTTTTACGTGAAAGTTCGGATGGTGTCTGGTTCTTCTGAAAACCAATGTAAAATTACCCTGGCTCACAAGAGTATATTATATAAATAACTGAAGTATCATCAACTGTTTAGTTACAAGTATATTCATAAGAGTTAGTTCATGTAGAAAATTTTTATTCAATGAAAGAATAATACCAACTACTTTTCATATATTTTAACTGAATTGAATTGATTATGCTTATTTCTAAGACGATTTTACCTTATGTAATCATTCAAATTAAAATAGAAAATAGCATAAACTGACTATTTTTCTTTTACTATCAGAATGGTGGTTTGTGAAGATTGTAGTAATTTTAATAGTTCAATACATAAGTCAATCTAAGCTAGATCATCATTTAAAACGTGGGAGCACTGAAAGGTCGTTTCGTCTTAGTATATGAATCCTTATTAGTGTACATCCACGATCCCGCATGTGGGTAGAGATAGGTATCTACCTCAGACAGTAGATGAATGGTTGAGCAAGATCATAGATCGATTGAAACTAGACATTTACACCGTTGGATGCCGGCTCAATGATCCAGAGGTTAAGCATTTACACACGGGACCGAAGGTTCTGTGTTCAAATCCCGCATGTGGGATCGTGGATGTGCACTGCTTAGGAATCCAACACAATGACAATTTTGCTGTCCAGTACTTCCAGGTTTTTAATGGTGGTCTAGCTTAGACCGACTCATGAGTTCAACTATTGAAATTTTTGTTGTTATAATCAAAGTTAAATATCATATGTTGAAACGTTAACGTCAAAATATTATGGATAATTTTCGACTGTTTTGACCTTAATTTACAATTTATTATCAATAAATCTTAATAAAAGATTATTTACCATTAATAGTCATCATTCATTATCGTCATTACTATAATTCTAAGTAAACTTGTTGATATAATTGTACTAATAGTGAATATTTACTTGCAATGGAATTCAAGATAGATATTCTATGCAACTTAGTATTCGCTAAAGAACATTATATATGCCTAAAAATATTCAAGATATTCTATATTCATACGTACATCAGTGCTAATTAATGTAGTCTGATTGAATAGTGGTCATCTGTTTTATTAGATACAAATTTTGGCTATATTCCTTCCATATTCTGAATCAATTACCCAATTTGCAACACCATATAAAGTAGTAGACCTTCGGTTTTATGTATATTTGTCAAAAATTGACTCTTAACAGCATAAAATATCATGAAGGTAAACGTGGAAATTATAAACAAAACAATGTATTGAAACGAATGATTCAAAGTCCTATCGCCTTATCACTGAAGTCAATCGGATAATTCTGATTACATTTTGCGCATTAACAACAAATTCAGGTATTAGTTTTCGATCTAATCATAATTATTACATAAAGTTAATTGATCAAATGATCCAGTCGTTGAACTAAGTTAAAAAGTGATCCAGAATAAATCATTCATTTTTTTCAGGTGTATTTCATCTTTTCTTATTGATAGTGTATCATGGCTAAAATAATACATCGGCAACAAACAATTATAATATCTTTTATCAGTATCTCTGAGACTAAATCAGATACGTATGAATGACCATTACTTTGAAGTTAACTAATTCATAATCTCGAACTATTAAATTGTAAAATGATATGACTTTATCGAAATATGCTCAAATTGAAACAAACTGTACCATCAGAATTAGTACTTTCTTAAAGTAATGAACTTACTGGCTTATTTGTAACATCACAATGAAGTTTATAAAACAAAGAACAAATGATATTCATATTCATAAGAGCTTTTTTAGGTTTACGCTAAACATTGCTCTCATTAACTGACAAAATTTAGTAGATGATAAATTATTCATTTAAAGTTCGTGATCAAATGATCATTGACATATTACATTAATGTTATCTCAGATTTGGGGATAATTCAAAGAATGTTAATGATAGATTGATTTGTTCATTGGCTCTTCATTAATGGTTTATGTTCTTTATTAGTTATAAGAGAAAATGAGACTTAATTTTAATAGTACAACGTTTAGTATTGATTAACAAGAAAATTGAAAACCTGATCTCATTTTGATTTTAGCAAATCAATTTAATGTGGCTGGAAATTCAGTGAGTTTTTCATTTTTTTACGTGACACTTACTTGGTTTAGTATAAAACCAGATTTCAGTACTCTTAAACGATTCTATGATGATGTTTCTCACATGCCGTTCATTTTGTAATCTCAGAAGATAGGTTAATTTATACCTTTATATTGGTGAGATAATAATGCATCATGATGATCTGAAGTTTTTTAAATGATAGTAACCCATTTATAATTTCAATTGTTGAGGTCATGAGTGAATTGAAGCTAGATCACCATGGAAAACCCAAGAGAACTGGACAGCCGTTTCGTCCTATTGTGGGACTCCTCAGCAGTGCGCAACCGCGACCCCGCCTCTCGGGATTCGAACCCAGGGCCTACTGGTCTCGCGCGCGAGCATTTGACCAATAAACTACTGAGCCAGATAAGTAAGCGGATTAAATACTAACTAAATTCGCATTCTACATCTTTCCACACTGTGTTATGGTACTTGAAAAAATCTACTCTACTTAATAAACCTTGATAGAAAATATTGTGTAATGAAAGTGATTTCAAATAATAGTTTGCGAAATAAGTCAGAATCACAATTAATTACCACATAAGCTTGTCAGATATGTTTGAAAGTTATTTGGTTAATAATCATTCATTTTCTATATTCATTAAATGAATAAACGTATTTAGTGTTTCATCTTAAAAATTAAAGATCAAATTACTATCTAAAACTAATTAAACTCATTATATGACTGAGCTCAATTGTGACAGACTTTGATGGAGGTTACCGATATGTAGAACCCGGCACAGTTGTACGTTAGCCCAAGCTTTCATAACTCATTAGCACGACAAGCGGAACATAATAATAAAAATTACAAAATTTATCGAAATAATATAGTAAATGATGAGAAAGACTCAACGTTCGCTGTGTGACATGTAAGTACTGGTTACGACCATTAGCTAAAACGAGAGTGAGATCCTATAATGGGGACAGTTGTTTATTTCTCTAGACTTGTATCAACTCATAACGAAAAATCATCTAAAGATTTAAGCTATACCTTTTTAGATAGGAGATAAATTTACAGTTAGCATTTTAATATACACAATATAGTCTTATCCTTGGGATCAATTTTAATTCAGAATACTATAGATATAAACTAATTGAAAGAAACACAGGGTTAATGAAGGAAATAAATACTCACTAAGTAATTTCAATCAAATTTGTAAATATATATTTCTCTCAATGTAATCAATAATCCTTGATATTGCTTGATAATGTTACTACTTCTGATAACAACAAATGTTCAATAATCTTAATATTTGGTTATCTGTACTATCATTATACACGTCTGAAATTATTCGCTATATATGTATAGGAATAGTTATGTAAGTTGACTTTTATGGTATATATATATATACTTATTTACGTATGATTTCATACGTATATACTACTCAAGATATTATGACCTCCTACACATACTCAGACACATGCATATATGTATACATACAAATACACAGTTATGACTATCTATATATATATGGTGATTTTAATTAACATTTTTAAAATTCTGTACATTCCTAATTTTTGGAATAGTTTAACCATTCCTTCGGCAATCTCAACCTTGAAAATGAAATGAAACAAAGACTAAGAACAACTAATTAATTACAAAAAGAATTTTGTTTGCAAAAGTTTATAAAAATGAACTTGTTTATTTTGTCTCTAGTAGTACTAAGATTAGGTCAATTTTCATATGTAGTAAAATGAATAGAACCAATAGTTCTTATCATGTGGTTCATAGTAAATTTTTGTTTTACAGGAAACCGTGATATTTTAGTCTTCGTGATGACTGGCACTAGTCAGTTATACTCATTGTAGGATTTGAATTTGTATCACTTATCTTCATTATTTGAAATGCAACGACATAGCTATTGTTTCCGTTAAACTCTCTTTAATCTAAGAACTGTCAATAATTTCACTTTCTTTTGGATGCATTTGTTTAAATCAAATTTTGAACTTGTTTGTTCATAACACTGTTTTCAAAGATTTTGGTTTCCCTTTGCTTTTCACTTGACACTTTAGAAGTTTGGCTCCGGAAACTTAGAAATTAAAGGTTTACTTTTTAGTTGTAATTATTATTAGAGCTATATATTTGGATCGATTACCTGTAATTTATGAATAAACTTTGGTATTTTAATTGTAATTTGGTTCTATTGTTATTTGGAGTCGTAAATTACGAGTGGATCGATCGGCCGTGTTTCATTAACGTACGAGAGAGAAATTAGCAAATAATACTGCGGCTTTTGTAATGTGTGGTAGGCTAGCATGCAGCAAGCTTGTTATCTGATGTCATCGAAACAATGAATTTGTCTTAAAAGTATATTTTGAAGTCCAACTCCACTGGCTTCCATTGCGATGAATATGATTATCCTCGATTTGCAGTCGCCTATACAAAACTTAAAGCCGATTGAATCACCAAACCCAAAGAACGGCCAGTAAAGAGGTTTACTAGATATAATAAGTCAAGCAAATATCTCGTAAAATACTTTCTTGTTAGTTTTTTCCACTGAATAGCAACATTCAGAAGCTTATATTACAATCAATTATAGCAGCTACAACTCACACCAGTAACTAACCTAGGGGTATATTACTCACACAGTCTTAAGTTCTCTGAACAAATTTCACCAAAGCATCTAAAATGAGGAAACTTTCAGGCTTCATTCTTCGTAATTTCTTTCAAGATGAATCTAAAATCATTCTTTACGACATATATGTAAGACCTACCGTTGAATACTGCTCGTTCTTACTTTCTAGCGTACACCTATACTATATACTGATGGTTAAAGTATAGTGACTTACTTATATCACGAGAACACGATTAGTTTGATGAAAACAATTATTATTACAACCAACTGCTTCAGTGCTTGTTTTAATGTGCTTTTGTTTAACTGTGCTAGTTACAGTCATTTTGTGCTTCCATTACTTTCCATCATTTTTCCGCGGTTTTTGACTTTGTTCGCACGTACCCCGTTCTCCTGCTTTCGCTTGTACCATTCCTTGGCACGATCTTGGTATTCGTTCGATACCACGAGATCGCCAATTGAATGAACTTGATTCCAATCCGCCTTCTGATTTATTTGGCACGTGTTTCTTAGTGGCGGTGTTCATAGTCAACTGGGATTCGACTCCACGCTACAGAAGGAACACAACATGATTTAACCCGCAAAATAATTAAGACCAACTCACTCATTGACTACAACTCTCGATGCCATATTCTAGGACTCAGACCCCTATTGAAAATGGCTTAGGTCCAATTTCGTTCTCTACTTCAAACCTTTCAAAAACCTTAATTGCTCCACATGTAATATAGTTCTTGTCCAAAGTTCACATGAATACTGCGTTCGAGACATGGTATGTACGGCCGAAGTAAAAAAATACAGATCAAAAACTCCGGAAGACTTCTTTCTCATCAAGGATGCATTAATATGGAACAGTTTTCCCTCTGAAATACACATGGCAGACAGACTACATAAATTTGTAAGACTTGTTGATCAAGCCCTCACTTGCACGGATCTGGCACGATCGAACACATCTGCGTCTCACTCAGACATCAAAGGCCATCTCATTGTATAGACCAAATTAGACTGTGGGTTCATTTTTCCCTAACGTTCTTCGTAGCAGTTGTATTGAATATGTGTTTTTTAATTTTAAATTGAAGTAGACATGTAACTCACTGTACCTCTGGATGCTGCTCAACTATAGTCGATCGCTAAGGGATGTTCACTAATACCTTAAAAAATGTCAAGAGGACTGCATAATCGACCACCCACTACCAGTCTTCTTGAATCTATGAAGCCTGTAACCTACCACACGGTTGGAATAGCACAAGATGACATCAGCACCAAGTTGATATGAGTTCCTTCTTGTCTTTTTTCATCAACTTTTACTCTCATGCAAACTGTGTTGGCTTACCAACAATAAAATAATAAACGCAGCTATATGTTACGTAGCTGAAAATCGACAAAAATGTAACGATTCGAGAATCCATCCTTCCAAGAGGACTCCGATGCTGGTATCGCTTACAACCTGGAATACAGTTCTTCTTGATTAGTGTGATCCATTTCTCGGCACATATCTCTCAGCTGTTATTCACGGTTTTTTATAAGTGGCCTGATCTATGCTTGAGGCAAAACGTTTTGCTAAAATTCTTCGGAACTGACTTCAGTCACATTGTTCCTGCAAAGTTCGACGGACCAGAAAGGGCAGTAGACATTCCTACTACAGTACAGAAATGCGAGAGCGCCCTTAAATTGTGATGAACAATGCTGAAGAATCTAAGATGCGAATTGTAGATTCTACTGATTTTAGTTGGCGACGTCGACAGGTTGGTCGACTATAAATACAGAAAGCTAGTGAACCCGATCGTTTGGTGGTGTGAATTTTGATGTATTGTAGATAATACTAAGTCATGCAGAGTTTCGATTAACCAACAAAGAAGACGCACAGAGGAGCAGAGGCATTTTAATTTTCATCTAACCCGGGGTGGTTTTGTTACATATCACAACTAGTTATTGCTTTGTATGTCACTCTGCTTTTGGTTTAAGTTACAAAGTACGGTGCCTTTGCGTGTTCTTACATATGTCTCTTTGAAATGAATGCTGGTCCACTCGTGAGTGCGCGAGCGTGTATTAGACAGCTCTGTGAATTACTATTTACTATAAGATGTTAGATTAATTCTTCATGTCATATTTTGACACCCAGTAACAGTGCTGAAACCAAAGAAGTTTTGTTTCGGTTTTTGGATAAGTTGTAATTATTGTATTTTAGTGAGTTTCGAAGAAATGCTCACTTACCAGTGTTTGGGTACTTTGGGCACTCAAATATTAGTTACTACCTTTGATGAATCAGATGAACTACTGTTCACAACTTGGAATGCAGAATCATAGTTCAGGCACTCAAAAAGTCTTCATTTCACCACAGATATCTGGCTTCCATATTGTTGGGGATAACAATGACAAAAATCAACTCAAACGATTAAATGGAACGGGAAAATCGGCTTTTTATTGGTCTCCGCAACAACTGTCAGCGGTAAAATATTCATCTTAGTTGTTTCGCGGGTGCCGACACTGTCCGACAGTCGCGTGTGATACGAACTTATTGCTGTAACATAATCGTTTTATATTATACAACGCTGTCTTCTGATAGCATCTATGCTAATTACTTACTGTAACAACAGAATCTATAAGACTTTCACTGAGGTAATCACTGAATGATATCAACTAGACAGCCAGCGTCATGGGCATTTTACGGATGACTCTAGACTGAACTTTATGAGCTCAAAAAACCGTACACAATAATTAACATTTTAGTCGGCTAAATAGAAGACAAGAAGCAATCCCAACTCTGAAACTTAAAAACCACTAAACTCAAGGATGATGTCTGTATAGTAATCCTTACAAAGTTTTTCGGTGTCTGTGAATGAAATATTAGAGGTTGTTACTTGAAAACTTTTGCCTTAAAATACACCAAACTAGTTAACCCTGTTGAGTAATAATAATCATCACTTGCTCTGAAATAATAATACGCTACACGATGCACGCCAAATTACAGGCAAGATCAGTGTTACAACTGACACAGAATTAGCCGCAACAAGTTGCTCATTTAGGTTGGTATGCTGCAAGACACGCTGATCATAGTGATAAGGTGATAAAATCGTACATAAGAATATAAATGATGCTAATAAAACTTGAGTGCTCAATGTGAAAGTCAGCGCACTGAGTGGAAGCTGCGTTACGGCTAAAACATCGGGATCAATAATTAAAGTACGGTCTAGAGGTGTCTATAGCAGGATGTATTGTGACAAATACAAAAGCAGTAAATTACAAATGTCGACTTTAGCGTACAGCTATGTACTCCTTCATAAGTTCAATAGTTTTCCGACAAGTACAAGTGTAAATGTTTATGAAGTATCCAAGATATTGATTGGGGCGTAGAACGGAATCATTTGTCGAATATATGTGTTTTTGGTGGTGTTTAACAATCCCCAAGCGGGTCGGAAGAGAAAAGTACTAGAATGGAATAGACAATATTCATAGCAGGTGAAACAAGAGACAATAGGGTTTGAAGGTATATTTGGAAAGAAATCATCATGTCAAGAAGCATTTGGTTTGAGCTGATTATTAGTTGCAAAGGATGCATAGCATAATGTATACAGTCATGAAATGGTACGGATGGGTGAACGGTCACCTTCAGTTAGATTGAGTCTAGTAAAACCAATGAGGTTGTCATCAAATGTTCAGAACTTACAGAGCCTATGAACCACTATTTTCTGCTGCAGAATTCTTCCATACTAGTGGTGCAGTCCCCATTAAGGAGTTTATATACAACGAGTTTGTCGTTGCTAAACACTCTTCCGTTGGCTTACA